GGGAGTGGAATCTTAAAAGCATGTGCTTAGTTTCTTGTGAGCTCCATCCAGCCTTTTCCCTTAGATGATGTTTTGTATTGTTCACTGTGATAAATCATAGTTGGGCAACAACTATATTCTGAGACCTTGAGTCTAATTACCAAACAAGGAGATAGTCTTGAGGACTTCTGATACAGATCTCTCCAGTTGGGAGATCTCCAGATCAACATGAAACATAGCTGGCCCTGAGAAGACCTTGGGTTTCAAGACCAAAACTAAGTATCTTCAGTATCTTGAAGTGAAGGGAGATACCAAGTATATTTTTTCTGAGGAGAGAATTAAGTATTTAAGCCCCAAAAGACAACTGCACAGGAAATTGTCCTTTTCTATTAAAAAAAATTACTCCTACTACTATTATGTTAGTTGCAATGCTTCCCTACTGTGTTAAGTATACTTTTCTATACAGTGCCTGGACTGATTATGCAACTTGCTTGGGCCAACAGAACACGTGCACAAGTGATAGTGGGCAGTTCAGTAGAAACTTTGAGACTGCACGACTACTTGCTCTTTTCTGCTGCCACAAGAAAAACATCCAAAACAGGGGCTATTTCTTCATGACTCAGGAAACATCAGTCAACCTGCAGCTGCACCATGTAATATTAATCAGAAATGTTGGCTCTAAGTCAGAGATTTAGAAGTTGTCCTAAAACAAAACCTAGTGAAACATTGGTATCACATATACATATTTAAAGTATATTTATACATCTAAAATATTAATACAAAACATACTAACTGGCGTAACTATTTTTGTAAAAGCACAAAAACTCCGGGCCCTCCCTGGTGGTGGAGCAAGTTAAAGCACAGTGCAAGAAGCTAAAGCTACTTCTGCATGAGTTGGATTCCCGCCTGCCCCAGAGGTGACCACATGGCGCGGCAGACCTCTCCTGACCCGCCCGCTGCTCCCCTCAGCAGTGTACTTCGTCGACCTGCCAGTTCTGTTCCCCACTATCTCTAGTGTAGCCTCTCGCTGCCCCTGAGCCTCTGGCCTGTACCCCAGTTCTGTATATACAAATAAATAAATCTTAAAAAAAAAGCACAAAAACTCCAGATCTAGCTAACTTACATCTTGGAGCTCTTTCAGGAATTGAAGTAACATTGATTTTCTTTTCTTTGGCAGATTCTTTATTTTCTGAAGACTTTGGCTTTTTCCTTTGGCGCAGTTCTACAGCTGGTCCTTAAAATATTTGAGAAATTATTGCAACATATGTACCCACATGTATTCTCATCTATAATTCAAATTAATTAATTTCTATTACATTTAGGCCAAAAGTCACAGAGGTAATTTTCTTTTTAATTAAAGGTAATTTTTTAGCACTCCCACGGAAAAAAAAAACAAAACTGTATTTCATACAAACAAAATGACACTAAGTCTCACCACTTACCCATGGTTTCAGGGTCCACTGAAAAACAAACTTCTCCTAGATGATGCTATTTTCAAATATTCCCAAATTAAGTACTCTTTCTCAGAATGATTAACAAACTAATGTTATTCATTAAATTAGCCTATTATTCTAGTTACCTGACTATCACATGCATCACAGATTAATAATTTTTTCAAAAGTCAAAATAAAATACATTGATCATACATTGAAATTAGAACCTATAAATATCACTAAGTGAGAAGGCCTCAGGAAATTTCCCAACATTAGACTTTCTCTATGTCCAGTAAACAACATAAAGCAGAAAGTACCTCCAAACTAGTAAAACCAAACTCCAGATTATGCAAGAATGTACTATATTCAATGTAATTACTTTTCCTCCTCAAAGCTAGCCTGTGCAGATACTGCTATGTAAATATAATGTCCTGTCAAGCTTTTAAGGTGATATAAGAATTTGCCTCCTTCCTTAACCTCAGTCCTACCCAGAAGTGAAGGTCTGGCCTTTACCTGCCACCACCACCTGTCAGTTTCCTAACCCCATGCCCAGCATTACCTGCCATGTGCCCCTGAGCTTACAGCATAGCAGCTAAACCTTGGGCTCACTGTAGAGACTTCTATCGTCTTTGGTAGTTTGTATCTGTGATAGCTAAAATGTCACTGATGCTGAAATAAAGTAGGATTTTGACTTGCTCTCTCCCACCACCCTCCCACCCCCCCGAAATTTATTTCCACCTTTTGAAAGCAGTTTTTTCTTTTCGCTTAGTAATGACTTTCAGCTATTAAATGTGAGCCTAAAAAATCCAAAAAGGAGAAATGAATCATTGGGTATACAACTGATGAGATACATGGTTCTCTAGCTGTACTGTGCAAAATGAACACACTTTAAAGTAACCTCAGAGCCAATACATATGTTTGCTAAATGTCTCTAAAACTAACATAATGGGGAAAATATGCTGTGTGTTTAATGGATAATATCTGACTAGTCAAATATCTAACCATTTTCTACCCCATCAACTATTTTGTAGTCAGACTAAATAAAACCAGTGAATTCATTAGAAAGTGATATTATTAGAATACCATACCTCACCTCAGATTTTACATGTAAATCTGGGTCAATTAATAAATGATACTATATTCTGCTTCACAATTCCCTTTTTATTTTCCCCTTCGCTGGGTTAAAGCAAAAGTTAGAAGTGGTTAACAAGAATTAAGATTTATATAAAGCCAAAGAAAATTCAAATGCAAGTAATTATTTTTAATTTTATTTAAAAGAAACACAAGTGAAAAAAAAGAGAAGAAACATAAGAAGTTTTCCTAGTTGTATGTGCTTGATTAAAAACATTTAATAGTATTGGATTTTGAAAAGTTAACTATAATTTCAAAAATTAAGGTAGTTAATAAATGCATTATGTGTAGTATAAGTTGGATATCCCTATTTTCAGACAAAGTCTAAAGCACACATACAAAGGAAAGATAACTTGGGAATGGGGTAGTCACATAAAAATATTCTTTATAAAAGCTATCCTATTCTTAAGTAGTTCTTAATGATAGGTAACACCTATTTCTTTATAGAGATTTCAATTAAAGTATTCTCTGCACATAAGTGAACTTTGTTTATAAAAGTATACCTTATGGGGCTTCCCTTACTGTGGTGCAGGGGTTAAGACTCAGTGCTATCCAGCTATTGTCAGCCACTGTAACATGAGTTTGATCCAAGCTGACCCATAAATGGTGCAGCAGATCTCTCCTATCTCACTCACTGTTCCCCTTAGCAGTGTATTTCAGTAGATGTAACTTATACAAAAATATAATGTATACAAAAGTTTTTTCACAAATCCCCAAATAATGTATGAAGAATACAAATCTTAGCAACCATCTCTCAAGAATCTATTTAGCAATGATCAAGAACCATACAAATAATCTCTAAAGGATCTATAATACCTTATTTTCTTGATTCTAAAAACCCATACATTTTAAGATACTAAATATGAGTCTATCAAGGGAAAAGACACTATCAAATTAATGCATACACTTTTTTAAAATATGTCTGTTTCAATGGCTTTAAAATGTAGAACAGAAAGTACAACCTGGGGCAGTGCAAGTTCTATCCCCAGCCAGGGAGGTGACCCATATGGTGTGGCAGTCCTCTCGTGACCTGTCTGCTGCTCCCCTCCTCAGTGTTATTTCAGTCAATCTGCCTGTACTGCTCTCTGCTCTATCTCTGCTGAATCCTCTCACCCCCTCCACCCCAGTTCTTGTATGCATCAATAAATTAATCTTCAAAAAAAAGGAAAACCCAGTATTCATTTTAGCCAATCTTTTCAATCTTGTCATAAAACTAAACTGTTGCCTATCACCAAGAAACAAAACTGGCTGGATGAAATTTCACCTCAGTTCCTTTATTTTGGTTTCATAACTTCATAACTGTTTATGTTGGTCTCACAAATTCATAACTGAATGCCAATGACAGAATTTCTAGGTGGAAACTCAGTAAAGACCAAATGCAATAAACTAAGTAGATTATTAATTCTGATAGAAAAATTCTGAGATTGAATTAAAGTTTCCTTTCCCCTTTCTAATATTTTTAACATTGTAAAGAAAAAGCCAAATGAAAATTATAATATATTACAAAAATAACCTGCTATTTCAGTTTGCAGTCCAGTGATATTCACTAAGTAGTAAGGCTACAAATAGGATTGCAAATGTCCACACAGACTCTACATAGCAATTTCGAAGTGAAGTGTTAATACTGCTCTAGTCAGGTTGTCACTTCTTTCTTTGCTCTAACATTTATTTTAGGAAACTGCATCAAAGAAGACATTTTTTTTGTAAGATGAGATTCCCAAAGAGAAAGTGACACAACGAGGGGCATCCTACCATTACCGGCATTATTATAGTAAATAAGAATTTAACTATCTTTCATTGTTGAATATTATATGGCACAACTAAGACTGCAGGCATCCAAATATTTATGGAATTCAAAACTTGGTGAGTGAAATTATAGTTGAACAAAGCTACAACCTATTAATTGTTCCATATAAATGTATTTAATTGCTTTTGACTACCTCTGAATCCACAACTAAAAATCATTTTTCATTTTATATGACATAAGTAAATTTTATATAAATGGAGGGTCTTTTTAATTGGTACCACATCTTATTAAACTAAGTATAATTTTTTCAAAAAACATTTCTCAGCTTGTATAATGTATAATTTTAAAGACTTTTTAGTACTGCGTATTATTTTTCAAGCTTTAACTTAAGCTCTTAGTGCTCATGGAAACACACATACTAACTTATCAACCCACCACCATATATCTGCAATGAATCAGAAAAGAGTAAAATACTAAGGAATGTTTTAAATAGTGTGACTGCAACCAAAGATAAAGCCAAGGCAACAAATGGAATTATTCTTTCTTACCAACTACAAATAGCTTAGTTTTGCAGCTGTTTTTTAGGTTGTGGGTCTTAAATTTAGATCAGTTTTAACACTGAAAAGTAAAGAAAGAGAAGGCAACTATAAAGCAAGTGTGAGCTCAGCGACAGGGCCGCAAGTCACAGAGCAACAAAGTCTTTTTACAAATTTTTTAAAAATCGTTTTCCATGGAATCCTTAAAACTCCCTTTACACTCTTGTTCTTATAAGGCTTAAATCTAAATATATCACAGTCATAATTCCACTCTACGAGGTAAAGAGTCATGTTTTTCTACGAGAATGCAAAAGCTATCTGCTCCGTCAAGAGACACTATCATATGCACCTGTCCCTAAAACCAAGACCCGTATCTTTATCATACCCTGAGTGCTTCCTATAAAATCAATCACCAGAATTACGTTCCTCCCAACTCCCCATCTTTCTCTCATACCCAGCATTTTCTATGAATAAATGATGCTGAGTGAGTGAATTTTCTGTTCCCAGGGGGAACAGAAAGCTTTCTCTGGATCACCTAATTGTGCCCTCAAAGCACCTCTGCCTCCTCATGCCCACACCCTTAACGACTTAAAATTCCTTTGTCCTTTGCCATCTATAAGAGAATTTGGCCTTCTTCAGTGTCTGCTTGTTCACCCTCTCAAAGCACTTTATCACGTTCACCCCAAATCCCGGTCTCTATACTGTAAGGCGTGCGTTGCCGCTTACCCAGCGACTTTCTATTAGTCAATATCCACAGATCTCTAAAGAGCGCAATAAGAATGAGAGCTACTTGGCTGAACTTCCACCACTATGAGAAATAGACTCTGCCTAAACCTGCACATTTTCGAAATCAAACTGTCCCCCACGCCATCAATAACCTGTCCAAAGCTCCCCCACTCCATCAATAACCTGTCCAAAGCTGCCCTCTCCACCACTCACCCCACAGCCTTTTCTTCTCCTACCCGATTCCCAACTTTTAAGCTTCACCTCTGCTTCCCACTTGAAGAGACAAAACTCCGAGCCCTCCCTCCCTCCTAAATTTCTCTGCAAATCTTCCCCCGCCGACCCGCTCTTTCCAGCCCGCCCCGCGCCGACGGGGCCACCAGCCACCACCGCCAGGCCTCCGGGCCCCGAACACCCCGCCCCGCTCTCCCGAGACTCAGGGCGACAGTTGGCACGGGGGACGCGTGGGCCGTCACCTTCTTCTTCCGCCATCATCTCCGCGGAGGCCGGGGCGCCCCTCCGGCTCCCGCGAGGCCCGCAGTCGCCCGCCCTCCGCGTCTCCGAACCCCTCGGCCGCCCCAGGCCCGCTCCCGGCCGCCGCGCCCCCACTTCCTGACCCGCCCCCCTGCGGTGTCGCCGCCAACCGTGTCCCCTCTGGCTGCCCTGGAACCAGATTGCGGGGAGCGGAGGGCGGCCGGAGCGTTTCGCAGTCGCGCATGGGCCTGGGCGGGCAGGAAGGAGGCTTGACGCCCTAGACACCGCCCACGGCTGGTACTCCGGGTCGGCGTCCCCCGGGAAAGCTAGTGGGCTGGGCGGCGCTGCAGCCTCTTCTCTCGATGGTCCTTTCGCAAAAAAGTGGAAGCCGGAGTATGGTTTCCTCGACTATTTGATTTGGCCACACGCATTTCAGGTCCAAACCCCGTCCCCGCCCCATTTAACAGGAAGAGGTTAAGTCGCAAAGCTACAGCTGCGGAACTGGAACCCAGGGCTCTGAGCTACTAGTGCACGCCTTATGGGGGAAACTAAGAGCACAGCAAAATGTTCAGACTCTGCGCTTTGCTTTAAAGAAGCTTGTATTAGGCACATGGCGTTTTTTCTTTTTTTTTTTTTTTTTTTGGAGGTTAAGGCAAAGTTTTTTTGTTTGTTTTTATAAGGCAATAGTTTAGTTTCCACATCATTTTGTGCCTTTTTCCATCTTAGTTGTAATCCCCGTGGGCTTCCCACCACCAGTTAGTTACCCGTGTGCCATCACCGTAGTCCAGTGCCCTAACCCCCTCCCATTTTTGATCCCATTTCTCTGATATATAGTCGTTCATTATTATTATTATTATTTTCTCCCCTGATCCTTTACACTCCTGCTATAAGTGAAACCATCCGGTATTTTTCCTGTTCTTCCTGGCTTATTTCGCTAAGCATGATTTTTTCCAGCTCCATCCATGTTGCTGCAAAAGGCATGTGTTTATATTTTTTGGTTGCTGAATAATATTCCATTGTGTGTATGTACCACATCTTTTTAATCCAGTCATCTACTTTTGGGCATTTGGGTTGATTCCATGTCTTTCCTATTAGCACATAGCATTTTTAACCACCCAAACTGGTCAAACAAATGTATTTGTATGTTACGGTACTTTAAAGAGTCAGTGAGGTTGGGGTGCATGGGATTAATTTTTAACTTTTTTTCAAGTTGTATTTATGCATACAGAACTGGGATACAGGCCAGAGGTGTAGGGGCTAAGAGGATTCACCAGAGACAGAGTGGGGAGCAGAACACGCAGATCTACCAAGAATACCGCTGAGGAGAGCAGCGGGTGAGACAGGAACCGTCTGCCATGCCATACTTCCGGGACCATGTGGGTCACCTCCGGCCCATCATCGAACTCACACTAAAGTAGCTGCAGCTAACTTGCAGTATTGCCTCCTAACCCGTTGCACCACCGGGGAGGGCCTAGTTTTTAACTTGTTTACACTCTTACTTTTATTACACAAGCATTCTCCAAGAAATACCTGGACAGCTTCTGTAAGGGCAGTCAGATGTAAATTTAAGAACTGTCAAAATCCCCACTTTAAAGAGGGGGAGGGAAGCTCAAGAACTCACTGTAGCTGTGGGGTAATTAAGGATGTCCTGTTCTTAGCAGACTGCAAAATTCTCCTATGAGCCCCTCTAAGTTAGGACACTTGGAGGAGAAAGTATCAATTTTCAAAGTTATGTAAAAACAGTTCCAGGAAATCTTTTTATGACTTTAGTTACTTGTAAATATGTCTTTTTGCTTCAAACAACACTGGACCAGGAGTTAAAAACACGGTGGATGTTTCCAGTGGCTAAGAAGAGATTTGGAGTGAAAACAGAGAGCAAGAGATAGAGAACAGAATGTATGAACCTTGAAAAATTCAAAATATGGCTGGGTCTACCAACCTGGGGCTAACATACCAGAGCATCCTACTTATCTGATGAGCTGCTTTGCAGGAACTCCACCTCAAGGGAGAGTAACAACACCATCAGGGAGCCAAGAGAACCCCTTTTGTATGTAATGGGTATTTTTAGGGAGTGATGTGAAATGTTTGTTTTCACAAGGGATATCTTCAGGAAATATGTACTAGGAGGATATTGTACTGAACTGTGCAAGAAGTAAAGGCTAGGAATAATGCAATGGAAAAACAAATATTCAAAGAAAACAGATTCAAAAGACGGTGAGGTTAAATCTACAAGAGCTGATGACAAACTAATCGATGTGATAAAAGAGATGAAAATTATTCTGAGGTTTCTATATGAAACTAAATGTGTACTTTCCATGTGCCGGGCACAGTGTCCTGCCAGTATATGAGAAGAACATAAAACAGAAAGAAGTTCTTGAAGACCTAAGCTACTTAAAACCAAAAACAATAAAGCAATGTTTACTTCAAAAAATTTCTTCTCTTAAATGTTTCTTTATATTAGTGATAACAGAATTAATGTGAACCCTTATATCAGGTCAGCTTTTCTTCTGTGAAAGGTATGGAATTTTTTTCACCTTCATTACATAATAAAATCTTAATTTTCACAGATTAGAATCTTTATACTGTTTTCAAAAATCACCTTCTTTATGGAGTGTGAACCAAGTGTGACCAATTAATCTTTAAAAATACAAAACAAGAGCCTTCCCTGGTGGCGCAGCGGGTTAAAGCCCAGCACTAAGACGCTTAAGCCACTTCAGCATGAGTTCGATCCCTGCCTGCCCCAGAGGAGATCCACATGGCGAGGCAGACCTCTCCTGACCCGCCCGCTGCTCCCCTCAGCAGTGTACTTGGTCGATCTGCCTGTTCTGCTCCCCACTCTGTCTCTGGTGAATCCTCTCACCCTCTGCATCTCTGGCTTGTACCCCAGTTCTATATGAATAAATAAATAAATCTTTAAACAAAAAATACAAAACAGGGCACTCCGTGGTGGTGCAACTGATTAAAGCACAGCACTACAAAGCAATCCCCAGCCACAGCAAGAGGATGAGTTCTATCCCTGGCTGGGGAGGTGACCCACATGGGGCAGCAGACCTTTGCTGTCTAACCTGCTGCTCCTTTCTGCAGTGTACTTGTCAGTCTGCCTGTTCTGCCCCTGGTTGTCTCTGGTGAATCCTCTCACCGCCCCCCACCCGACCCCTTGCACCTCTGGCCTTAGTTCTGTTCTGTATGCACAAATAAATAAACCTTTTTTTAAAGAAAAAAAAAGGTTTATTTATTTATTCATACAGAACTGACAGAACTGGGGTACAAGCCAGAGGGGCAGAAGTGGTAAGAGTCTTCACCAGAGACAGAGTGGGGAGCAGAACAAGCAGATCGACCAAGTAGCTGCTGAGGGGAGCAGTGGACGGGTCAGGAGAGGTCTGCTGTGCCTGTGGATCACCTCTGGAGCCAGGGATGGAACTTGCACTGAAGCGGCTGCAGCTGGCTTGCTGTGCTGCATCCCGACCCGTTGCACCACCGAGGAGGGCCTAAATAAATATTTTTTAAATATGCTCTAGAAAGAGATTTTTGACCAAATTATATGAAACAATACATATAAAGCAAAGCATTATGATACTAAATGGCCTATTACTGAGATTTTCCCAGGCAGAGCTTCTATTGAGTAGACACAAATTGCTGACTTTGCACCAAGATCTTTCTTCTTTAATTGAGTTAAATTGAATTATATTGGAGTAACCAGATAAAATTCAGGATACCTCAATATATGTCCCATGCAATATTTTGGCCATTTTTATACTAAAAATTATTTTTTGTTTATCTAAAATTCCCATTTGAGTATCTTGAATTTGCCCTCATTAAAAGCCATTTAGCACTGCTTGCTCTAAAGCCTTCTGGGCACCTATAATAAGATTAAATTTTTTCTTATGATAGAGGGAAGACTTTTAGACAAGATTCTTCTAATAGAAGGAAGGCAGTTAAATAGCAGATAGACTTTGAGTACCTCATTTTCATTAATTCAGAAAAAAATTACCATTCCTAAAAGTCCTGACTCGTGGAGTTGCTTTTGCTGTTTTCCAGCTCTACAAAGTAGGGCTCAGACTAGACCTGTGCAGGCTTAGGGTTGTTTTAGAGCTGCCATTGAACTACTTAGCTAACCAGTGCAGTTGGTTTACCCAGCATGTCTAGACCTGTTACACTGAGGACTGAACACACATCCAAATTATAGGTATCTTAAAATCAAAAGAACAGTTTTGTTTTTTTTTTTTAAGAGAAATGTTTCTCACTAGTTACAATTCATTATCCTATCAATTTATGTGATGGGGAAATTATCATAACATTTTAATAGAGCAGAAAAACCTGCTCATCATTTAAAATCATTTAATATAAAAGTTAAATGAAATCATTTAAATATAAAAGTTTTAAATCCTGTTAATTCAGGATAAGCACTCCAAGAACCCTATATGTCCAGTAGATGGCAGAAGTAGCCTTAATCATCGTATTTAGGTAAATTTGATCTCAAACTGGATGTGTGCGCTAGTGTAAAAATGACTCTTGAATTTATTCTTCAGTCTTACAAGTATACCATTAATACCTAGAGTGATGCTAGTATTTTTAAAGTAAGATTTATTTATTAATACATACAAGCACTGGGTTTCAGGCCAGAAGTTAGGGGTGAGGAGGCAAGAGGATTCACCAGAGACAAGGCAGGGAGTAGAACAGGCAGATATACGAAGTACACTGCTGAGGGGAGCAGTGGGCAAGACAGGAGGGTTCTGTTCTGCTGCACCATGTGGGTCACCTCCTGCTGCAGTGGCAGCGTATGGCTTCATGCTGCTGCACTTTAACCTGTTGTGCCACCCAGGAGAGACTGCTAGTTTTTGTGTTTTTTAAGAGATTTATTTATTTATGCATACAAGAATTGGAGCACAGGCCAGAGGTACAGAGGGCTGGAAGGGAGGGTGTTGAGAGGCTTCACCAGAGAAAGAGTGGGCCCCAGAACAGAAAGATCTCCTGAAATACACTGCTGAAGGGAGCAGCAGGGAGACAGAAGTCTGCCAAGCCATGTGGGTCACCTCCCTGGCCAGAGATGGAATTCATGTTGCAGTAGCTGCAGACAGCCTCATGGTGCTGAGCTTTAACCTGTTGTGCCACCAGAAAGAGCCAGTGATGCTAGTATTTTAAACATTAAAAAAAAAAATTTATACATTTATGCACGCAAGAACTAGGTCTAACCTACAAGAATGTAGGTCAGAGATGTGAAGGGATCAGAAGAGTCAACCGAGACAGAGTGGGGAGCAGAACAGGCTGATTGAAATACATTGCTGAGGGGAGCAGTAGGTGAGACAGGAGAGGTCTGCTGCGCCATGTGGGTCACCTCTGGCCAGGGATCTAACTTGTACTGCAGTGGCTGTGCCACCAGGGACACCTGCATTCTGTTGTTTTGGTCTGTATGGTTGTTCTCGAATTCAGCTGCATTCTGTCTACTTTCGCGTGGATCACAGCTGCAGTTTTCCATATTCACCAAGGGAAACTTATGTATAGACTGTATGACAAAGAGCCCTGGGGGGGTGAACTGTAGGGGAAATAAAGATTGCTCAGGCTTTGGTGCCATTAGCATCTGTGGCTATCACCTGCTGCCTTGCATGTAGGTGTTGGCTGGGAGTGGGAGTGATGCCTCATAGTGGGCACCTGGAATATGGTGTAGGCATGTGTAAATGGATACACCTGAGCACAGAGGCTGCGCATTTAAAGGCTGCAGCAGAAGCCTGTGTGGCAGAGTACAGTGGAGAGCAGTGGAGGCCAGAGAGCCCTGAGATGTCCTCCCAGCCTGGTGGCAACTGCCTGCCCTGCACCTAGTTATATACAAATGGTGATTATATACAAATGGTGTAGAAGATCACTAAAAGCTTGAAAAAGGTAGTGCCCTCCCTGGTGGCACAACGGGTTAAAGTTCAGCACTATGAAACTATCCATAGTCACTGCAGCAGTTCTATTCCTGGCCATGGAGCTGACCCACATGGTGCAGCAGCCCTCTCCTGACAGGCCGCTGCTCCCCTCCACAGTATATTCCTGTCCATCTGCCTGTTCTGCTCCCAACTCTTGTCTCTGGTGAACCCTCACCTGTATTTCTGTCTCCCTGTTCTGCTCCCTATTCTGTCGCTGGTGAATCCTCTCACCCCCTATACCTCTGGCCTGTACTGCAGTTCTTGTAAGCATAAATCTTTTACAAAAATAAATTAAAAATTTTTTTTAAAGCTTGAAAAAGTCACAGAGGGCTCCAGGACTATCCGTTGCCCACTCTGCCCAATTTCCTGCCGATACTACACAGGTATACTTCCTGCTCTTGAGATTATGATCTACAAATTTGCAACGAATACACCTGAGCTCACTGACAAAACATATCAGTCTAAAATGGTACATACCTATCAGGTAAGACTTAGCCTAAAGAACAGATAGAATTTGGATCAGAGAGAATGCTGGAAAACTCAACATCAATGAGTAGAGAATTGGAATAAAGTATGTAAGGGTCAAATATTAAATTCTAGATCTAGAACCAATTAGTATTATATACCATAATGGTCAAGAATTTCATTATCAAGCATTGTGCTTCTCTTACTCTATTTGTTAGATATAATAAACCTATCCTTTTAAACTTAAAAAAAATTCACAATCAGTTATTTAATCTCTAAGGATGATTGATATCTAGAAAGCATTTATCATCAGTGTTTTTACAAACACAGGAATAAAGCACTTCAGGAAAAGAGGACTTATCCACACCCACCCACCATTACCATAACTCCTTTAATAACACAAGAGATTGGGCCCTCCCTGGTGGCGCAGCAGGTTAAAGCACAGCACTGAGAAGATAAGGCCACTTCTGCATGCATTCGCATGCATTCAATTCCCGCCTGCCCTCGAGGCGACCACATGGTGTGGCAGACCTCTTCTGACCAGCCTGCTGCCCCCCTCAGCAGTGTACTTCTTTCGATCTGCCTGTTCTGCTCACCACTGTCTCTGGTGAAGCCTCTCACCACCCCTCAGCCTCAGTTCTAATAAATAAATCTTAAAAAAATAATAATAATAACATAAGAGATCACAAACCTTGAGATTAAACAAGTGACTTTTATTATTAAATGTAACAATTCTACAAAAACTCAATTGTATCATATTACTGCCTAGCTTAAAGTTTTCAGAGCTTTGACTTTGGGCAGACAGTATCTTTAGAAATCAAGTATAATGAACTTTTCTTCTGATCTTAAGTGCCAGTTTTGAATTTTCATACAAAATGGTTTATTTTTTTCCTACTGCAGTAAAAGGGCCATGGATGGTCAGTTGAAGAGGGAATATTTGGCTCTCCATTCAAGGTGTTAATCAAATAATGCAAGTAAATAAAAATAGCAGCCATATAAATCTGCATAGCATTGCATCCAAGCAAAAGACAATGAGCATATTAAACATGTGCATGTGTAACCAAATCCTGTTTTCCTCTTTGGAGTTACAGGAGGTAGCAGTACTTGCTAGCTAGTGTCTAATATTGCACATTTGTAGCATAAACACAGTGCTAAGCACTGAAAACATCAGTACCTGCACTACCCCCATCAGTGTTTACCGTCTCAGTCTAGTATGCAGACTACAATCCTATGCTTTTAAAAGTTGCAATTATTTGAGTCAAGCCATTAGTGAAAAAGGTTTAAGGCTATCTTAATATATACAAGTTTTAATTTCCATTAGTATGTTTTCAAGAATACACATTCAAATGTTTTTTTTTTGATATTAAAAACTATGGGATCAGGAAAAGCATAATATAAAATAATACATATGAAGCCACAATATTCCGTTATACTTCAAACTAGAAATTACTACCTACCTATAGCTGCTTGATTTTTGGTTTCATATTTTGGCCCCTAGTTCATTCATATTTACAACTGCTTCCTGCTGAGAAAAGTAGCAAACTTTTTAAACTATCCCAAAGTGTTTTTAAAAATTCTTTTCATTGGTTTTAAACTGTATGACATCGTGTTGGTCAACAGACTGGAAAATATCAGTGCTACTTCTTAAGTTTGTGATTTTAGTATTCTAAGTACTTATTTTAGAATTACCTAGTAAGCAGTGGGGCATGATTGTGCAGAAGGTAGGGAGTTAGAGAAGGAAAAAATGGAAACACACAAAAATGAAGCTTCCATGAACAGAGTTCCTGGTGGAGATGGTAGACACTGGTGGAGCAATGTTGTTTTTTTCTTTATGACTTAAAACTTAAAAAACATTATGTTGTCACATTAGCTGGAAGTAATGGACACATTTGATTTCAAATTCACATTTTAAATGCCTATTTGCAAATTGGCAAGGAGCCTGGCATGCTGCTTGCCATTAAGATTTGGCTTCATTGGCTCAAATTTTTCACTCCACTCAAAAGATAGGGCACAGGCCCACTGTCCAATCATGCTTGCTGAAAATACTGCAGCCTGAGTGGAGACAAACTTCCTCTGAAATTGCTAGAAGTTGTCTCTTGTCTGACAGTTTCAGAATCACCATATATCTTTCAAACACTGAAAAGAAAAAAACACAGAAATATTACAGTAGATAAATTTTTCAATTCTTAGCAGTCACACACAAGAAAATCTGAATTTCAAAAGGCCTAAAACAAAAGTCTTCAGATAGGTTAGATTTTTTATTCATACAGACATAGCTACCATGATGTCTGTGTAATGCCACACAGCAAATTCTAGAGAAGCAGCACACAGTAAGTAGACGTCCATGGGAGGTTATGTCTACAACTCTTTGTGCTTTGTATCATGCATAGGTGTCTACCTCCCTACTTGAATCAACTCCTTTGTGGAGAGACTTTTTATAGTATTCATTCCTTTGCCTGGGTCCCCACATTATACCGGCATTCTTTTGATGATAGAAATTCAAATACCATTATTAAAAACCAGTAACAATTTTTGAATTGAACTCTAGTATAATAAATTTCAAATAATTCCAAACAAATATATTTGGATAAATAAAAGGCAATGCGCATATTATTGCAGACATGAGCTCTATGTGTCAATGAGATAATTAGCAACTGTTATGTGACTATTTTATCCTCAAAACCAACCATGTTATCCCAATTTTACAAGTAAGAAGACTAAGGCACAGAGTGATCAAACCAATAACTGGCAGACCAGATTTAAACATAAATTTGTTATATTGTTAGTTTACATCCACAACACGCAAGAACTTAAAATGAAAATTTTAATGAGGCACTATGCATACTTCTACTTATAAGCAAGACACAGAGATGGAGATAGAAATAAAAATAGCTCTTCAGATTTCTGTTCAAAAGACCAATTGAAATTGTAGTTTAGATTACAAATGTTTTAAAGATAGAGGTTCTAAAATTGATAAAAACTTAAAATCAGGTATTTTAAAAAAAACAGTGGAAAACTTATGTCAGAAGTCATTTTGAAACTGTAATTTACAGAGTGATAATAATTTAGCACTAGGATAAAGCAGTAGTTTCTCTTAAAAAAAAGATTTATTCATCTATTTATGCACACAGAACTGAAATATAGGCAAGAGGCTCAGGAACAGTGACAGGATTCACTAGAGACAAAGCCTGGAGCAAAACAGGCAGATTGACGAAGCACACTGCTAAGGAGAGCAAAGGACGGGTCAGGAGAGGTCTGCTGTGCCATGTGAGTCACCTTCCTGGCTGGGGATCGAACTCGTGCCAAAGAAGCTGTGGCTAGCTTCATAGTGTTGTATTTAATCTCTTGTGCCACCAGGAAGGGCCCAGTTTCTTTTATTTTTTAAGATTCATTTATTTATACATACAAGAGCATAAATAAGGGGTATAGGTGACAGGTGTGGGAGGAGAGGGGTATCATGAGAATATTCATCAAAGACAGAATGGGGAAGATAACAGGTGGATTGACTGAAATACAGCTGAGGGGAGCAGTGGACGAGACAGAAGAGGTTTGCTGTGCTATGTGGGTCAGCTCCCTGACCAGTGGCTCCCTTTTGTTGGCAATAACATAGAATTATATTTAAATAAAATGAAGACCTCCTTTCATCTAATTTCTAGCCTACAAAGAGGTATTTTATCTTGCACAGAATAAAGGACCTATTTGTAGCCAGTAAGCCATGTATATAGCCCTGGCCATATGGTTTCAGACATGAACGTAAGCTAGGCGATGGAACTCAATTCCTGACTTACTTCTGGATGTGAAATGGAAGGGTATAAACCAAGTATTGCGCGGGTACCTCAAAGTGACTAAAAGCGAACCCTTGCACACAGACATTTCAGTAGATCTGTCTGTTTTGCTCCTCAGTCTGTTTCTGGTGATTATTCTCAATTCCCCGCACCTCAGTTCTTTGATGCATACATAAATAAATCTTCAAAAAAGAGAGAAGTTCTATTAAAAATCTCAATATAAAGGCACACTAATCTGATGTTATCAGAATAAGAATGCAAACATTTGAATTTTAGTAAGACATTTAATGTGTTATTCTATCACGAGCCAAATACTACTTTAATAAACATTAAAGGTATTTGTTAAAGGTATAAAGTAATGATTTTGAGTCAGTTGAGGGCATTTCTATATTATAGATCAAATGGCTCCATTTCTAGTCATTTATTATCTAATATACCCTGAATATAGACAGTATGCTTCACAAATTCAAACACAGTATTGTAAAACTAAAGAACATTTGAAAAAAATAAAACTACTGATGGAAACAAATTATCAACAGTATAGAGTAAGGCACTCTCTCGCCACTGTGAACTAGACTAGGGAATACTACAGTCCCTCCTGAAGTAACTCAGCAAGACACTCTTTGGTAGGACGTTGGCATCTTGAAACCTCACTGAAAATGGCAGGGTCATCACTTCAAACACAGGAGTTTCTATAAATTTCGGAATGAAAGTAAGATCCAGTTGCCATTTTTCAAGTCCCACAGAATCCACTGTGTGGTTGAAGCCACAGAAACTGCATAGTAACAAAATTTACAAATGACATGACAACAAACCCACTCATAAAAACTGAAATAAGGAACACCAATTCCTGAAACATGTCCCTACCACTACATCCTTTGGAGAAGTCTCACATAGAATGCCAATATGCATAAATACTATGAATAGACTGAGAGGAAAAAAAAAAAAAAAGTCCAACTAACCCATACCAGAGTATTTGTTTTAGCGCAGAAAAGAACATGCAACAAAACCTCACAATCATTATAGAGGAAAGCACATTTTAAAGTGTACCGGGGGCCTCCCTGGTGGTGCAGGTATTAGAATCTCAGCTCTATCAAGCTATATTGCAAGCCACTTCAGCTTCAGTTTCATTGCTGGCCAGGGAGCTGACCCACACAGTGCAGAAGGCCTCTCCTGTCTCAGCCGCTGCTCCCTTTTGGCTGTGTATTTCTGTCCATCTGACTCTTCTGCTTCCACTCTGTCTCTGGTAAATCCTCTCATCTCGCCAACCCCCACATCTCTGACTGGTACTCCAGCTTTAATATGCATAAATAAATCTTTTAAAATATATATTATCATCCTGAATGACAACCTGAATTCCTGACTCCCTTTCAAAGTTTCTACCACTCTTAAGTCACATTGGAAGAACACTTAAGAAACCTTTCACCTGACTCTTAATATCCACCCTCAGATCGTGACCTCCTTTGTCTGGCCCTTTATACGTTAACTGTCACATCATAGAACCTTACCTTCTTTTCTGAGGCTGGTCTAACTGCTGGGACCCTTAAATACAAACCCATTCTTTGGGTAGAGTCCTGGCCTGGTCATTTGTGTGTACAAGTCCATCCTCGGTTGCATACTAAAATGCAAGTTAAAACAAACAGGATCAAAAGATGGACAGACTCACTATGCATGATTTAGTATTTCAACGAATAGATGTGCCCACAGTATTAATGGGATATTGTAGATGATCCACATACTTAACTGCTAATCCTAAATCTTGGTTCCTAACTTTACATTTCTAAATATTATAAAAATTCCTCCTAGGAGGGAAGTTAGATTGAACACATGGACTAAAAAAAAGAACAGCATGCCATTAATGACCATCACCAAACCCTTCAGCTCTAAATATCTAGATTCTAAGATTCACAAGAAAGACTAGATATCAAATAGCTGAGCACCAAATTTCTGCAATGCAGTATACAGTAAGCCCCATTATTGCCAAACAATTGAAAATTTTAAATAGTATTTGACGAATTTGTGATCAATCTAGTTGCCTCAATAGCAAAGAAAAGTTTTAGCAGTGAGATGTCCTAAAAGATAATGATCAAAGTTAATGCTTTGAGGAGAAATCAGAACAAGCACTATCAAATGCAAAATCATTGACAGTAAATAGTACAAAGAGCAAATAAAAAAGTTAAATATAAAAGGATAACAGATATCCTATTTCAGAACAAAAGGCCCACGAACTAAAATACACAGGTAGATTTCATGACCAGAATGACAAATCCACTCCAAGTATTTTCAGAGTGGTTCATCTTCAAAAAGCCATTCCTTGTTTTATTGATCTAATTTATCAAAACAGGCCTAATGCAGGTACTTTATAAGATTTCAGACTTGATAGCAGAACCCATGTCCTGCATTTTGCTTTAGTCATCATAATTATTTTCTTTTTGCAAACCCTTGCCCTTTAAACAAAGTATGGAAAAATTAAGTTGGAGTAGTTTTATGAAAGAATATTGTTGAAGGTAGGAGAAAACTTCAGTAAATTTAAAGACATTATTTTCATAAAGAATGACATGCCACTTTTACATCAAGATCATTTTTAAAAGTTAGAATCAAACTATCAAGCGATTTTCATTCAATGAGTTACCAATGATTTCTTAATTATATAAGATTAGATAATTAGGTAAAAGTAACCAAAGAACCAGAAATCAAATGAAATCCTACCACTAAATCAACAGTGATACGAAAGATGAACAAATTACACTCTAGAACACTTCACAAAAAATGCCATTCACTTTGATTTTATCATACGATAAATCCTTGTATCTAAATAAATTGGAATTTCATCCATGGTTACAAACCAAAATAACTGAAAATAAAAAAAACATAAGGTGTACACTCTAAAACATAGAAAATATAAACTTATGTAAGTGATATAATATTAGGTTTGATCAGAAAATTTCTGACTCTTGCATTGCAAATACCTCAAAAGCTCAAATTAGAATAATCTGATATACTCAATTGGACAACTGAGGTTCCTATGCAATCTTATTTCACTGATACAGTTAATAGATTCTAAACACCTTAGAAATAAAGACTAAATGCTTTAACAAGAAACAACTTTATACAGTTTTTTTTTGTGCTTCTAATTATACCAGATAACTCTACTCGTAACCTTGTAAGAATTCTAGAAAGTTAAATTACTATTGAATGAAGGTGATATCTCAATTTTGAAGCACGTCAATCTTTTATCCATAAATCCAGAAATAACTGAATACCAATTTTAAAAAGTCATGACCCTTAATAAAGAGCTAATATACTTAATTTCACAATTTCTTTAGCTATTCGGTATGAGTGTAAAAGTTAATCAAGAGAAATTCTTTCAGCTGACCACTAAATCTTCGAACATTGTATTTTCTAGAATTAGAAAAGGGGAAAATACAAAATTCAAATGCTTTCTCTGTGAAATTAAACAAACTTTTAATATTAATATACATCAACAAAATCCCCTATTCCTCTCAAAACTGAATGACTAATGCTTGGCAGTTAGATAGTATTTCTTTTACCTCTACTATAAGGGCAGTATAACTGAGAGGAGAGCAAAGTATTTACTTAACTCTGGGAAATAAATCTTCTGGTTTTAATGTGTAAATCCAGGCAGCAGTAACAGGAAATAAATTTTCACCACCTTTATTCAGTTTTTCACAATCACATAAAATTTCTATTTGTCAGAAAATATTCTTTGTATGGTAAAAGACTTTAAAACCACATTAGTAACTTAGCAGGTCTGGGGCATCCCTACTGAGACCCTCAATGCTCCATGATCCATAGAAAGGAAGTTTGTAAATCCATTCTAACAGTGAACAGACTCTACAGGTACAAACCTTATAATGCTCTGTAAAGTCTTAAGTGCTTTGTTAGCATTTGACAATTATGCCTATAAATGCTCCTCAACTATCAAGGCTCAAATAAAATTCAGCTTCATGAGGAAAGACAATTTTGGCTATTAGTGCAATTAAGAAGACTGTAAAGTACTGATTTTTTAACACAGCAGAAAAGGAGCTGCAACTCTAGGTAATTATATGACTTGAGAAAGAAAGGTGTCTGCTCAGATGAGATGGCAAAGAGGAAATTATGTTCACTGTTTAAGAGTTATTATCAATACACAGTCCATTCTTTAGCTTAAATCAGAAAACAACTGATGCACCCATGCAGTAGTAGAAGCAACTGGCAAGAATAAATTTCAGATTCCTAAGAATTAGTAGCCTATCATTTCATAAAAGGTATATTAAATATCAGAGTTCATTTAAAGGAATTCATTGAATTGCCTTTGTTTTTGGCAGCATAGGCAAACAACCTTGATCATTTCAAATATTCAAATTAAACCAAATATCAAACTACCTTTTTTCCTTAATCAAGAACTTGACTTTGAGGATAACACTTTCTTAGCCAACCCTACTCTACATGAAAAAATTTATACTGCTGTGTTGCGAAAGACCTTTCCCTATGTAGCCCAATTAAAAAAAAAAAAAAGGACAAGTAGGTTAAATTCAAACAAGATAATATGGAAAAGTAAAGGGATGAGCTTGAAATTGGCATTCACCGTACTCCCCTTGAATATAATTCTGGTTCTTTTTGCCTCCATAAGCAAATTCATTAGCACAGAACATACATGACTTTTGAAGTAAGCTGACCCTTTCCTGACTGCATTCTTTAAGAAAATCAACTTAAGTAATAAGGGCACTGAGTAGTTGTTTTCTTCTTCAAGCTACTGACCTGGTAACCTTGGAAGAAGTTAAGAATTTCCTTAACTCCAGTATTGTAGGCCAGGCCCTGCATTCTGACCACCGTGCCAGGCTGTGGAGGGACACCGCTAAGATTAGCAGCTGTAGGGAAGTAGCCAAGACTATTGGGCGAACCTGGGGGGCTAAAGGGAGAGAAAGCATAATGAACCAATAGAAATAGACAATGTTGAATATTTACTCTAAAAATATTAGTTACTTAAGGAAATAGACTCTCCCAAGGTTACCCTTCTTAGACTTCTTTGAGTTATGGTTCCCAATTCAAGCAGAGAGCACCACAGCTATTTTGTCCCACATATCCACGAGCCCAAACGTTGAAAGGCAGAAGGGTTAACACAACAGAATCAGTGTAGGGTTTTCCCAAAAAGTCCAGTCCTGAGATTCTTAAAAGAAAGTGAGAACTGAGCCTTCACAGTCACTCAACCACAAAGCACCACTTTCAAAGCCTAATTCATTGATGATTAACAGGCTAGATTATCAGGAATGCTAAGGTATGGAAAGGCATGAATTCAAAGAACTAAACAGAGCCATAGCCACAGAATAGCACTGGAGCATGCCACAGCATCAAAATGATTGTTCCAAAGAATGGACTGCTCTGTCCATAGATATAAGCAAATCTACAGTACAATAATAGAGCAGAGCACTGTAGTGAACGAATTATTTCTTCCAAACACTCTGAAAGAGAAACAAAAGCAGGGGAAGGGTAAATTGGAATCAATCACCATTAACACAAGGAGAAAAACTGATGCATCGTTCCCTTGGTACATCTACAGCAAGTGCCCCCAGAGGAGTCGAGTAAATACATCATTATTCTTTATGTGGCAACAAGTGATTATCACATTATGAAATTAGTTTTACATTTGTCCCCCAGTCTATCTTCCACCACCACTGGTGTCCTGATATCTATAATTGAGAAAAATTTATAGGAGTAGCTTTTAAAGCAGGCATTAGCTTAAAGAGCAATAAAGACCAACAGCATGAGATTATTAACCCTTATGACTCCTCTTTTTATTAGCCTAGTAACCTTAAGCAAGCCACTAATTTCTCTGAACTTCATTTGCAGTATGGGGATGACAGCACTTTCCTAGTTTCACAGATTTTTTCCCTTCAGATTCTATGATTTAACATACCAAATTATTCCATAAATTACAAAATGCACTAATGTCATTTCACTCTTACTAGAACCACAACCAGCATTCTTATTTTATCATCTCAAATATATGGGAGCCTGAAAATATTTCACTTCAAGGTGCCCTTAATCTCAAGTCTCTAAAACAGGGGTTCTCAACTTTGTTTGCATATTAGAGTCACCTAGAGAGATTTTTAAACGTTAAAGAGAGCCTGGTTAGATACTAGAAGTCAATTTATGTGCAAATAAAAGAGAGATGTTGAACTTTAGATCCAAGTAGGACTTTCCCTACCATAGCAGCTACACTTCCTCATCTTTACAGAGGTAGAAACAGAAACTAAGTCAAATTATTTCCCAAAGTCCACAAAACTAGTTAGCTCCTCGCCAAACCAAAAGAACCACAGATCTCAACTTCTACTTCACTGCTTTTCATGAATACAACCACCATTCATTCAAAGGCCATATTTGTTCATGTCAAAAGACTGATACCAAGTCTAATACTCAAAGGCTATCAAGATCTCTCCAAATATTTTATTGAGTTATTCAAACTTTGTACACTGAATAGGAAAGTCAGATCATCTGTAGTGTACAGGTTATTTCTATAGCTCTATCCTGGCATAACATATTCCCTGTGCTTACTCATCATCTACAAATTAAATCTACAAGTCTTAATCACATCAAAATGCAACCAAGTGAAACTAATAGCAAAATATAAGTTATCCAAATAGAAATGAGGGTATAAGTGACAGCCATGTTTAACACCAATGAGGTAGCAACTATTGAGAAAGCCCAAACACCACAGCTTAGATTCATATCTTTACTTTTTACATGAAGCTTACCTACTATGTAGAAGGAAAATGAGAGACCAGAAAGAAATACAGCCTCACATTTAGGGTAAAATGTATGTATTTGTGCTTAGTGAAATAAGCCAGAAAGAAAAGGAAAATTACGGATGGTTTCACTCATAGCAGGAGTATAAAGGGCCAGGCAAGAAAATAATAATAATAATGAACAACTATATACCAGAGACATTTTACAGGGAATGGGATCAAAAACGGTGGTGGGAGGGAAATGCACTGGACTATGGTGATGGCACACATGTGATTTAGTGATGGGAAGCCCACGGGGATTACAACTGAGATGGAAAAAGGCACAAAATGATATATAATAATAAAGTATTGTATTATAAAAAAAAAAAACTTATATATTTATTTTAAAGATATATGAATACAAGAGTTGGGATGGAGCCCAGCAGTACAGGGCTAAGAAGTTTCACCAGAGGCCCTCCCTGGTGGCGCAGCGGGTTAAAGCACAGCACTGAGAATCTAAAGCCACTTCCACATGAGTTCGATTCCCGCCTGCCCCGGAGGTGACCACATGGCGTGGCAGACCTCTCCTGACCTGCCCACTGCTCCCCTCAGCAGTGTACTTCATTGATCTGCCTGTTCTGTTCCCACTCTGTCTCTGGTGAAGCCTCTCACCACCCCTGAGCCTCTGGCCTATACCCCAGTTCTGTATGCACAAATAAAAATAAATCTTTAAAAAAAAAAAAAAAAAGAAGTTTCACCAGAGACAGAATGGGAAGCAGAATAGGCAGATCTATTAAAATGCACTGTTGAGGGCCCTCCCTGGTGCCGCAGAAGCCCCTTCTGCATGAGTTCGATTACCGCCTGCCCCGGGGGCAACCACATGACTTGGCAGACCTCTCTTGACCCGCCCGCTGCTCCCCTCAGCAGTGTACTTCGTTGATCTAACTGTTCTGCTCCCCGCTCTGTCTCTGGTGAATCCTTTCACCCTCCGCATCTCTGGCCTGTACCCCAGTTCTGTATGAATAAATAAATTAAAAAAAAAAATGCACTGTTGAGGGGAACAGCAGACTAGATAGGATTGGTCTGCTGCACCATGTGATCAGTTCAAGGTGATAGCTTGATAGTTCTGAAAACCCTTGTGCCACCAGGGAGGCCCCTCTATTTTATTGACAAGGGGTTCAAGGCAATTCAATGAGGCAAAAAATCAAGTATAGTCTTTTCAATAGTTTTGGAACAATGGATCATCATGAAAAAGGATGAATTTAGACTCCCACATTACATTATGTAAAAAAGAACTCAAAGTGAATAAAATGCCAAAATGTGAAAGCCAAAACTACAAAACTCTTGCAACACATAATATAACCTTTATGACACTGGCTTATATATATGACAAAAGCGTAAGGAAAAAAAAAATCGATAAGTTGTACTTCATCAAAATTTAAGAAATTTTGTGCTTTAATGGATATCATCAAGAAAATAAAAGACAATCCATGGACTTGGAAAAATCTAAATTATATGTAGAAAGGTCTCTTATCTAGAATATAAAACATAATTTTATAACTGAAGGAAGGAAAACAACCAAATTTAAAACTATGCGTAGGATTTGAATAAACAATACTCCAAAGAAAATACACAAATGACGAATAAGCCTATAAACTGAAGCTAAAAACAATAGCCATTAAGGACAAATAATCAAAACCAGGAAAATAGTTAAAATGGAAGCAATAAAAAGTAAAAAGGATGTAGAGAAACTGAAACTCCCATACACTGCTGATCAAAATGTAAGATAGTAAACTCCCTCTGGTAAACAATTTGATGGCTAAGCATAATTAAGCATACTTAAATAATGCCATACCTATTTACATATTTCATCCAAGAAAACCGAAAATTTATGTCTACACAAAAACTTGCATGTAAATGTGCACTGTAGAATTATTCTTAATAGACAGAAAAAATAAACATCTTCAAATTACCAACAACTGAATAATGGATAAACTAAGTATGGTATATCCCTAACAACAGAATATTTAGTCACAAAGATACAAAGGACTGATATATGCTACAACACAAATGAACCTAAGAAGCATGTTAAATGAAAGTAGCCCATAGCAAAAGTCTACATATGGTGTGATTCCATTTAAAGGACAGACGTACTCTGCCTACAACATTTAAAAGGAATCCATCTTCATCTTGTCTTGATATGAGGTGGTGCTGAGAAAAAGAATAAGTCTTATACCCCTTCCGTGAATAAAAACATAAGAGAAAGGTAAAGTTGGCTGTCCTGAAATAGCATAAGGAGCATGAAAATACTCAAAAAACAAACAAAACAACCTGTTCGTAGTCTGATTAATTTGGTGCTGGACTTTTTATGGCCAGTCACAATGACAGGATGTTATTGTGTCTTGTGATGTCTTACCTTTGTCTGAACAAGCCAGAAAATACTAATGCACATGGGTGACAAAAGACAGGAGCTTTAGAAATAGGGTTAAGAAAAAGGACGAGGGCCCACCCTGATGGTGCAACGAGCTGGGATGCAGCACTGCAGGCTGGCTGTAGCTGCTTCAGTGCAAGTTCGCTCCCCAGTCCTGGAGGTGGCCCACATGGCACCGCAGACCTTTCCTGACAGGCCTTCTGCTCCCCTCAGCAGTGCACTTCGTCGATCTGCCTATCCTGCTCCCCACCGTCTCTGGTGAAGCCTCTCACTGCCACACATCTCTGGCCTGTACCCCAGTTCTGTATGCATAAATAAATCTTAAAAAAAAAAAAAAAAAGGATGAGGCAACATACTGATCCACCTCCATACTGTAAATCCATGGACATTTGTGTTCCTTGACAAAGTCCCAAAAGTTGACAATTTCCAAAGAGGAAGGTCAAGGAAACTATTTTCAAGTTATTTTTGGGTAGCTGCTTTTTAAGTGCACAACACTTCATTGGAAGGCAAAAGTAGTAAAATGCAACAAAACAGAACAGCTCTCTAGAAATAAGCCTTTTCTAACTTCCTGTCTCCCACTGGTTACTTTTCCGACAGTTTATTTTGAACTTAAATGAACAGCTTGATAATAAAAAATTTTTAGGTTAACAAGACCACATAACAACAGAAAGGCGTGGTGGCGGCCATCATGCAGTGGCAGACAGGTAAACTATAACCTTGGAATTGATAATGTTGTAAACTATTGTACACCTCAAT